AAAAAAAAATGAGAATCCAGCACGAAATGTTTAACATGTATATTGAGACAGATTCTCAGATGGCAACCAAGATGATACAAGGGAAGATGATCAGCCACTCAGAAGTGATATGTTTTATTTGTGAAGTGATTCACAATTGACACATTGTTTTCATGTTAAGTATCGCTCTCGAGTATAATTATTAGTACTAAGTATTAATATTAGTATTAGCATTAGCATTAGTATTAATATTAGTATTAGTATTAGAATTAGTATTACTATTAGTATTACTATTAGTACTATTAGTATTAGTATTAGTATTCGTATTGATATTGGTATTGGTATTAGATAACAGGTTCCATTCATCCTATAACGATAGATTTGATTGTAGCATTGTGTTCAACTGTATCAGATTAATGTGCAAGAGTGATGCATTGCTTTGATTGCAGTCTTGGAGTTGGTTGTTGCATTTCGACTTGGGTGATGTTTAGAACATTGTCAGTTTATATTTATGTACAAGCACTACAAGAAAAAATGGTTTTAGTGACGATTTGTTATGGTTGCTAAAAGTAAGAAAATGGTTGCTAAAACTTGTAGCGACCAAATTAGGCTTGGTCACTCGTGGTCACAACAGGGTGGCTACTAAAAGTATCAGTGACGAGCAAATCAGTTGGACACTACAAACATAGATTTAACGACCACCCAATAATGGTCGTTAAAGATGGAATCATTAGCGACAAATTTTAGACTCGCTAATGTTAAAATTAATGGTCGCAATAATATTAATATGGTTGCTATAGATATATAAATAGTAACCAAATATTTTTGGTTGATAAATGATATTCTTTTAGCCACCAAGTAGGTGGTTGCAATTGATTTATATGGTCACAAACATAACATATTTTAGTGACCACATTGCGACCAATAAATTTGTTGCTCAAAATAATAATTTAACTACAAGAATAGTTGGTTGTAATAAATTTTTATCTATCACAATATATATCTCAATTTATGTGCATATAATAAATTTATTGCTGCTAAAAAAAACAAATAATAATTGTAAAGAAAAAAAATTAAAATTGATAGCTAGTTTGTACATATTAGTAACTAACTAATTAATTGTTGACAAGTCAATTAAATCAGTGATTAATAATTTAATATATATACAGGAGAAACCAAACACTGTCTTGCAGACTAGTTGAACTAAACACCGCAATGACAACATTCACATCCGGAACTTGATTGAAGTAACATCATGAGCTTCAACTGCCTCTCTGCTTCTCTCTGGGTGCCTGAAATTGGATGCCACGAAAAATTAGAAGACATACATGCAATAGTTTTCCCAATGTAGTGATTATATAAGCAACAAAAACAATAAAGAAAATCTTATGGAATGAATCGATTTACCTTATCAGTAGAGCCACTAACTAAACTTTACCCTCAATTGCAAATTTGGCACCTATAAGTTATAACCTACGTAAGAGATAAAAATAGGAATCCAAGTTTATGAGAAACCAAGTTCAATTAATTTATCATAAAGAAACATGAAATGAAATATGCATATGATGCACCATTTTTACCCTGTTTAAATGCACCAGTTACTACCTGACCTTCTACAGGTCTGTCAAACATAACACTTGTTAATCAGATCCAACAATATAATGGCAATTTCATCCTGAAATAATTACAGAAAAAACAATACAATAGCTAGCATAAATATAAACTTAGATTTTCCAGCTATATGTAAGACATGAACATATACCTTTTGTATGTCAATTTCTGCTAGGGGTGGAAAACAAACTTGAATTGAACACAATGCCACTTAATAATCTGAACAGCCTTAGCTATTATTACCAAAGAAAATGTGATCCCAATTCAAGTTGTTAATAAGAGGTCAGGACTCGACCGGGCCTTTATCTAGGAAGTCGAGGGACATACACTATTTATTTAATAACATTTTTTGGATTACCTTAGACGTAAAACAAAATTGCAAAATAAAAGAATTATGTTGTTTCTCATGTTATCCTATTATTCACGAGTAGCTATTCCACTTACCTCCTATGAATCAAGTGCAAGAAGACAAGAGAATTAGCTGGGATTGAAAGTAGAAGATAAGATACAATAACTATGTTCCCTACTCACCCGTGGTTCTAAATCCATTAACCTTTGCTCCAGACATTGTATTCGGGAATGTAGTGCCGCCTCAAACTACCTAAAAGAATTTCACAATGTATATATGTTAGGCTCTTTTAAAGTCCGAAAATAAACACCAACATTGGTAGTGAAAATCAATGACTGCAAGTGTGGAGGATAACAAACCTCATGCACAAATGGCATCAATGGCCTCTATTCATGTTTTTTCGGATTTAAACTGGGTAGCATTCTATCTATAAAAAAAAATTCCCCTTTATTGTTAGTAACTAATGACCAAATATAAAAACTTCTCCATTTTTACTGTTAGTAACCCATAACCAAATATTAGTTCATTGACAATATGTGAGAATTATATGTACCCAATTAATAATAAAGACATATGTATAGTGCAATACACAAAAACCTCCACCAAATATTTCAATTTTATCCAATGTATAAGAGACAAACAAATAAGAAGTCAGATTCAATCTGAAAAATCTCAATTAAGAATTTAATTTTAAGTCGTTCATCATGACAAAATAAATTCCAAAATGGATATAAATATGAATAAACTATATAATTTCTTGATTTCCGATTTCAAAATTTGGGATTTTTGAGAAACCTGAGAAATCATGAAGAACTTGTGCTTAAGTGGGCTGCAACAAGGCCGACGGGGGCTGTAGAGACGACGCGAGATGAGGTGAGGGTTCATGATAGTTATCTTCATATACTACCGATTAATATGCGATGGATCGACGGAGCCGATTACTATGCGATAGATAGACAGAGCCGATTATCAAGTGATGAATCGATTGAGCCGATTATGGGTCGAGGGAGGCTGTAAGAGGGAAGAATAATGGATCTGATACAATTGGAAGAGATAGGGGTTTTCTTTTTTTTTTTTTTTGATAAGTGAAGAGAGAGGGGTTTTCAATCGCCGTATAAACTATTATTATATATAGGGTGGTGATATACGCAGGCCAAATTAAACATTCAGGCACTTTTTTACCATGGTTTTTTACCTTTTTACCATAACTATTTACCTTTTGTACTGTTCCTACCAAATCCTATAAAAGAAGAAAACTCAACATTCAAAGTGGAAAATTTCAGATATTCAACAATTTTTGCGATGGATCCAAACAAC